AGGATGCTGGTGGTCAGGAGGGAAAAAAAACACCTTGCAAACCACATTAAAGTTTCATGAGTAAGCGTTCCTTTCTGATGTGCTGTGGAAAAGAGAGAACAGAGCAAGCCACAAACATAAGAAAGGGCAATAGATAAAAGGCAGGTATTCTTAATTTTGACTTCGTGTGGGTTTTAGTAAATACAATTGAAAAATCAAAAGGTTTTGGCTACTCACGTGAATGACTAAAGTCACCACATCCCTCTGTCTCCACAGTTTTGATTCTGTGTAGTTTGCTTGCTTCCTTTCCTTCCAAGCAAACCATATACCTGAAAAAATATCTCTCTGCTTTGTTTCTTGTTACAAGATACTGCAGGTGACTAGCACGAAGCAGAAATCTTTTTCTTTTTTTGGAGTACAACTCTGGAGTACAGCTGGTTAAATAGGGAGACCTGAGACAGCCAGCAAAGAATCATCACAGGATGCACTGCCAGATACTGATCAAAATTAACATTTGCTGGATCAGCAAGCTAAAAATACTCCATCTCACTCCGCTGGGCACTTTAGACTATTATAAGAGCAATTGTCAAGGGGTTGGTGTGGGGGGAATATAAGAACATAAAGGGATTGCTGGCAACTTGCCCTTTCTCTTTACTATGTGCTGAATCTAGGCACAGATGTGGTTTGCATTACTCTCAGTTACAGGCTGTAGTGGAAGCATCCTGGACAGACATGCATGTGCCCACAAGTGGGGATGGAGATTATCAAGGCTGCTCTAATGTGCCGCAAAAGGCATGTTTGCAAAGTCACAGAGAATGGAAAGAAAATAAGAGTCTCATCTAAAAATAAGTCTTCTACCTGTTTTTACCACTCCATCTTGAAAGGCACATTTTAGAGTTTTGGTCTAGGGCTTTCAAAGAAACAAATGGTTACTTTCTCTTGCAAAATATTTTTATTTTTTAATTACATAAAATAATAAGAAGAGAAGAAAAATATAGGAAATTAAGGGAAAGGAAGGGGAAGTGAGATACAAGGGGAAAGAGAATGGTTCCTTACTTTCATAGCTCATCTGCTGCTGATAATTACAAGTTGTCCTCAACTCATTTAGTGACTGTTCAAAGTTACAACAGCACTGAACAAAGTGACATAACCATTTTTCACAGTTATGCCTTTGCAGCATCCCCATGGTCATGTGATCAAAATTCAGACGCTTGACAACTGATTCATATTTATGATGGTTGCAGTGTCCCCAGGTCATGTGATCACCTTTTGCAACCTTCTGACAAACAAAGTCAATGGGGGAATCCTGATTCATTTAACGAGTTACTAACTTAATAACTTCAGTGATTCACTTAACAACTGTGGCAAGAAATGTTGTAAAATGGGGCAAAACTCACTTAACAAATGTCTCACTTGACCACAGAAATTTAAGACTCAATTGTGGTCATAAGTATTCTGATATTAAAGCTAGGTTTGAACCTTTGCCCTTAATTTGTCTCCTGCCTTCTTTTTATCTTGACAAATCCTAAATCTCTGCAGAGTGACCACCATCTTGATTTTCTTGACTCTGTAGCTCTGTTAGTGAAAGTAAATCTCTCCTGTCCCTCTTCCCTTCCCTTCCATGCTTCCTTCCCTATGAGGGGCCTGATGTATCCAGCAGTCCCAACTGGAACTACAGTGCAAGTCATTGTGCAGGGTCTCAGCCCCTGCTCCCGGATCCTTAGCAACAACCAGAGGGGGGAAAAAAAATACTGTACTGAGAAGTGCTTCCAAGAATTGGAAGAGCACAATTTTGTAAAGCTTGCAGATCACTCTTGGCCTTTGGATGCTGAGGTGAACCATAAAAAAGTGATGGTGCCAGTACAGGAATTCCATTCAATTTACATTTACTTTTGATTAAATTTAATAATGATTTCAATCCAGGCTTAATTTTATAATTATCCTGTTCCAAGTATTTTAAAAAATCCAATAGCAACTTCTGGAAATCTCTGAGAGTCACAGCAAAAGGTTTGGGGGCTGTGCATGATCCAGGGAGAACCTAGTGGTAAATCTGTGCTTTACGATCTTGGGCTGGGTTATGACATGTGTATTCATGGATGTAAATGCATACTGACAGATATGTACATACACACCCAAGTAACTTTGGCCTTCGTTGAGACTAAGTCAAAGGACAGGTGGGAGAAAAGCGTCCCAGAAAGATTACTTCAAAGAACAGTTCATTTGGAAGGTCTCTTCCAGCTCTGTTATACTGTTATTCTGAGTGCAGAGGACTGGAAACATTTATTTGGCAACATCACCTTGCAAAGTCCTAGAAAAGTGGAGTTGACCTTGAGCAATAGCTTATTGCTGGGGAAGGTGTGTGCTGCAATAAAGTATTGTTTACAGATTTGCTATGCTGTACTGTGTCAACCAGAATAGAAGTGGAAAGGACTTTGGAGGTCTTCTAGTCCAGCTCCCTGCTCAAGCAGGAGACTCTATTATTTAAGACAACTGGCTGTCCAGTCTCTTTTAAAAGCCTCCAGTGATGAAGCACTTACAACTTCCGAAGGAAAACTGTTCCACTGGTTAATTGTTCTCACTGTTAGGAAGTTTCTCCTTAATTCCAGGCTGCTTCTTTCCTTGATTAGTTTCCATCCATTGTTTCTTTATATATATATACGGAGGAGAGCCTTTTCTGTTGCAGCTCCGACCCTGTGGAACGATCTCCCCGTTGAGAT